AGCGAGCACGCTTTCCCAACTTTGTCTCTTTTCTCTCTGGCATTGCCCCTAGTTTCAAGTTGCAGTTTCAGTAGACATGCCTACTAGCAGGTACAAACTGCTCTAAAGCGGACTCCGTGTTTCGCGCTTTTCGCAAGGTGACTGGGTAAGTGCTTTTGCGAGGTATGCGGAATACACAAACGATTTTGTTACGCCCGTCGGTTGCGTCTCTCCAGCAAAACGAATAAGATGATCTACAAAGGCGCAATCACAAGCCAATATTTACGATAACAGTGCATTTGATTCGGTGGTCCGTGTAGTTGTATTTTACCCTGCTTTCTGCAACACCGTGCCATGGCGAAGAGCTGGAACATTCACGGATTGTGCTGGGCTACCGGTTGACCCAAAGGCGGATCCAAAACTCCGTTTTTTTTTTTTTGTGTGTGTCTTTTTTTTTTGGGGGGGGGGGGGGTGGAGGGGGGGGGGGAGGGAAAATCTAAAGCAAGATAGACAGGACTCGGGTTGCGCCTTTTGTTTTAACCGCTGCAGAACCACAGTGCACCGACGGCCCCTAGATGTGCGCCGACTTTTGGTTCAAAGCCGTGCTTTGAAGCCGCCGCCGCGGACTTCAATCTCGGTTGAAGCGACGGAGTGGTTCTCCATACCCTATTTCGAACCCTCGTCCTTGAGTACCGAGCCTCCTACCACCTGGCAGGCCGGTAGTTGGTGTTATTTCGGGGGATCCACCCATGTCAAATCGCCCTCCGAGAAGGGGGCAGGGGGGGGGGGGGGGGGCGGGGGCGGCCGCTTTGTCGCCCCCCTCTTTGTCCCGCCGCTGGGTTGACAGAAGCCCGCGTCGCCCGCATCGGGGCGACGCGGGCTTCTGTCAACCCAGCGGTTGACTTTTTTTTATAGTGCACTTGGGCTGTTGTAGTGGCTCTAGGCTGTTGATGCTCAAGCCTTTCATCGGCGGCTTGCCGCCAGCTGATCCGGCTGCTCGACGGTGAGGAAGCGGCGAAAGTTACCTCTGAAGTAAATGTAAATCCTTGTTCATACAGTTATCCGGTGTCAAAGTGTGGAAGGTGTCCAACCTGTATTGAGGGCGGGAACTACGGCGTTTTGCCTTGCTTTCGTAACCGAAACCAGAACAGCGAGATAACTGCCTTGCGTACTCCAAAATGATGAGAGCAATAAGTCGTCAAAAACCCGTTTCTAGGGTTTCAAACCAAGTAAACAAGACAAATATAATTCAAATTTATTGTCTGTATGCAGGAGGACTTATGTAACACAACAATACATTCTCGTTCCAAAACGAAAAAGAAAGTAAAACTCAGTCCGCCGTATATGGCAGCAACTTCTCCGCTGCAAAACCTATGCTGGCAACGTAAGCGGTTTTAATATGGCAGCCTCCGCTTTGCGCCGCGTTCCCTTTCCCTCCTTCCCCCCCCTGCTTCCAAGAGACGAAACGTGCCATGACAGGCCGATTTTCTTGTTCATTACGACCAAAACTCACCGTCCAATCGGTTGCCACTCCGACTGCGTCCGACGAGGCTTCCACCGCACCGCCACAGGTCAACTGGGTCAACCGTCACCTCCAGTTCAAACTCGGGCGCGCGCGCGGCAGTCGGAGAGTAGGTAGCCTCGTCTCCGGCGCCTCCGCGTCGCTCGGATTCCGTTCTCATGTTTCTCGCGGCCGGAAACATTCACCGAATATGCGCGTGTAGTCACAATTTCTAAATCCCGGGGCCAAAATCTTGTTTTGCCAAGGCTTCTTTCCAAAATAGCTACTCGAGTGATGCTTCGTCCACTTCATCGAAGGCTTGCGACAGCCATTATTGGCGAGGGGACTAAAGTATTCGTTAGGGGATCAACTCCAGCGGGAGCAACGAAATGCCCGCGGGACGAACTGCTCGAGTTACCGCTTCTGAATAGAGGGCGCTAGGGTCGCGGGGATGAAAGATCGCGATTGGTCCCTTTGCGCACCTTTTTTTTTAAGAGTGCTCGGAAACCGTTGCGACTAGAGTGCGACGCTTCACACGGCAGTTTGGGTGCTGTCTTGTCGCATCGCTGCAACGGAAAGGACTACCCGAGAATATTGTGACCGGGATCCCAGATGGAGGCTGCATACTCTAGTTTAGGTCTTATTAATGTTTTATAGAGGACCAATTTAAGCGAAAAAGGCGCCATGGAAAAATTACGTTTTAGGTAACCAAGCATGCTGTTACCGCGAATAGTAATATACTCAATATGAGGTTTCCATAAAAGGTTAAAACGTAAGTGGACACCAATATATTTGTATTATGTCACTTGTTCTAAGGAGTAGCCATCAAGGTAGTACAAAGGACTCCCATTAGGTTTGCGGGATACTCTCATATGTTTGCATTTACTATTGTTAAGTTTCATTAGCCACGACTCACACCACTGAGACACGGAGTTAATATCAAACTGAAGAGTGGAAATATCATGATTACTTCGGATTTCACGATATATCAGATAGTCGTCAGCAAAGAGACAGACAGATGAATATATTTAACTGGTAGGTCGTTAATATAAATTAGAATAGTAAGGAGCCTAAGACAGACCCCTGAGGAACACCAGAGTTTACTGTCGCAAGTGGAGAGTTTTCATTATTGACTGTTACAAATTGCGAACTATCAATAAGAAAAGATTGAATCCATGCAAGAACGTTAGGGTCAATGTTAAGTTTAGCAAGTTTCAGTAGCAATAGTTTATGACACACTTTATCGAACGCCTTAGCAAAATGCAAAAAGATGCAGTCCACCTGGGAGCCTTGGTCAATGATACAATGAATGTCCTGGGTGAACGATAGAAGTTGCGTTTCACATGACAATGACTTACGAAATCCGTGCTGAACTGGAGTGAAAATTTATTAATTTCTAAGAAGTTTACAAGGTGGGAAAATATTATGTGTTCAAGAAGTTTACACGGGATGCTTGTTAACAAAATGGGACGATAGTTGTGGGTAGAATGTTTATCACCATCTTTTGGGATAGGGACCACCTTCCCTACCTTCCAGTCCGAGGGTATGACGCCGTCTTGGAGTGACTGTTAAAATAGGGAGTTTTAGAATAGCGCACGCTAAAGCTTTGCGTACGCAAAGAATAGCGTCGTCGCCACTGCGCCTGCTCCGAATGCAAACCAGGTTTTGCGGTTTGCGTGCGCAATTTTAGCGTGCGCTATTTCTCGGAAATAGCGTGCGTACGCAAAGAGTCTTTGCGCTTCTCCAAGGAGGATTCGTGATGAGAAGTTGGCTAAAGCCAAGACGAGCAGAGTTAAAAAAATGGCGGCTGCCAGGATTATATCGACGGCTGCTTTGGCGGCGTCGTGAGTGCGACGTCGGCGGCATCCTCGCAACTGCGATTTTCAATACAGGACAACATTGTACTTGGTTTGGCAACGATCACCGGCAACTTGATGCTTGCGACGCGCGAACATTTCACGGCGAAGGTACGACGTGCGAAGGTCAGTACACGAGACCTCTCTTGCCGAGGCGACGCAAGCGGACACGACCGGTCAACCGCTCGCGTCGCATTCTCATGTTTAAACCAATTTAAAATGGTACTCTGAACCAAAAAACTTGCTTTGCCTGAAGTTACAGCATTTCGTGTGTGAAATAAAAATTGTGACTGTATCTTGATGGCGTCGCAAGCGCGAGCTGCTTGGGCTTTTGCGTCGCGATGGAGAAACGCAATCGAAAAACTCTCTTGCGTCGCGCGCGCTAATACAAGCGCTAAGTTTAGCGCTAGCGTGCGCTAAAATTGTGTACGTTATTCTAAAACTCCCTAATAATTTGTCAAGAATAAGGGAGGAATATAACTTGGTGCTTCTCAGGAACTTAGTATTTATGCAGTCCACTCCTGAAGAAGACAATTTCAGCCTATCTAAAATATTCACTATACCGATGGGGTCAACAAGAATAGCATCCATTGGTAAATAACCGGCACTCTCTATGAAAGGATAGCTGATGATGCAAGCATCAGAAAATGATCCAGTGAGCATAATTTTGGGCGGGAGATTGATTTGGAAAGAAACGCTACCATGTTTTCTTTTTTTGTTCTCGGACAATTAAAACAAAAATGACGGATCGTTGTGTTTTGTGCGTTTTCTGGTTCATTTTGTCGCGCGATTCTTGGTTCCACACGTGAAAGAAACTCCAGAAACTTTGTCCGGCTGACGCGAGGCAGGTTTCGGTTCTCCTCCGGGTCAGTGGATAGAAGCTTCCGTCGAAACTCGTCTAGCACGCCGATCTCACAGCTTGTTTGAGTACGCCACCGCCGCCGCCATGCATCGTGGGAGCTGTAGTGTTTCTGCACGCGCGACAACCCTGCTGGAGGTCTGTGCGAGCACAGCACGAGGCGGCATGAGCTATCTCGTGAACTGGCGTCTGCCACCTACGAACTACAGTTATGGCGGCGTCAGGCATGCGTGGAACGCTTGGTGAGATCGGTCTATTCGCGCATGTCCAACCAGGCTTTCACCAAGCAGGACCTCTCTTGTGAATGTGGTGTGCCTGAGTGTTGTGCGCGAGCGTAGAGTGCGTGAAGGCATCTCCAAACGCCCCTCCGCGAGCCCAAAACTTCGTCGCTTCTACGCCGAACCCTTCTCGAGCAGGACCATGCCTGTGTCACTGTCATGCCCTGGGTTAGTGAAGCTAGTGGCGCTCTGCGCGAAGCCTATCACGGCGTTTTGTCTCGATCTGGCGAACAGGTTCAGTCTGTCCTCGCTGGAATCTGCTCGTTCTCTCCGTCGTGTGGATGCGCATTGGAGACGGACGAACCGCGGACATTTTGTCACATGATCAATCCGTCCGCGGATTAGTCCGTCGTGAAAATCGGCCTTTAGCAACAAGGTGGCTGCAGTGTCGCTACACCCAAGCGTAGCCTTATCAGTGGTTCTGCGCTTCTAACGATACAGACGGAAGATTCCAACCGTCGTGCACAAAGTGTTCTGTACTTGTAACGGCACAGACCGAAAAGTAACTTTCCGACCATTGGGCTCACCGTGGTCGAAAATGTCGCACAAGCCCTGATGCCGCTCGTGCTTCAAGCCGTACAACTTGGAAGTGCAGCCGCAGTTCTCGTGCCACAGCTCCATGAGGCAGTTCTCCGAACATTCCTGCGAAAAGAAATAGTGCCCTTTCGCGCCCGGACCGTTTGGATGACGTTCGGTTTATCGAAACAACGTTCACTTTTAAATACGCAGCCCGGCTTATATCCTTCTGACTTCAAGCCGTCCTCTCAACGAGGATTCACTCAACACCGACTAGAAGGCCTGCGCATGACCAAATCCAAGCGGCAAACGCCCTGAAGCTCGACGAGAGTAAACGCAAAGACGTGTTGGCGACATTGGGTGCCGGCGTCGCGCACACTCTGAGACACTGTCGGCGACGCTATGTAGGTGCTGCGTGGACGCACTAACCGTGACGTCTGGAAATGACACCAGCGCTTGGTAGATGGCCGATGGATTTTCCCTGTGATCGACCAGAGCGCGAAGATTAGACACGAGTGCTGCTTCAGCGTTCAGCTTCGTGTACGATCGTTGCGGTCGGCGACGCCTTTCAGCCCTCCGCCCCGTTTCCTTCACCACGCACGCTTAGCCTTCGTGCATGGCCTGGACGTGAAATTCTTGGTCTAACTGGCTTTATACTACATTTGCAAGATTGTGTTTTACAACGTCGTTTTTAATATCATTTTGAACACTCACCTCCGACTGTATGATGTATTCTTTGTAGCCGAGCTCTTGGGACAAGCGCACGTAGTCACTGCACATGGTCTCGTAGGGATAAGGCAACGAGTTGGTATTCGTCTGAAAGAAAACAAAGGCACGCATTGTTGTCTCGCGCCGGCGGAGGGGCCGGCATAGCTGCGGCAGAGCAGGACGTGAGAGCGCGCGGGGAAGTGTGGCTGGACCGGAAGCTATAGACTGCGCGCGTCCAACGCGTTTGGATGCGAGGTCCAGACGTCAGACGCCGGCGTCCCGCATTATGACGCGTCTGATGAGTGCAGTGGAGACCAGGGGCCCTATGTTGCACGTTTTGGACTCCGACGGCGACTAGGGAGAAGGAAGTGACGTCAACGACACAACAAACGCGGATTGGATGTTGACAGAAGAAAACAAAATCAACATCCAATCTGCATCTGCTGCGTTGTTGACGTCACTTCCTTCTCCATAGTCGCCGTAGGAGTCCAAAACGTGCAACATAGGGCCCCAGGCAGCTAGCTTTACGTCTATCCACGAATCATTCGATCCAAGAGCTCGGTGTTTTGACGCCCCCGCGCGCTCTCTGTCTCATCCTATCCCTGTTTCTCGGCGCATAGGCAGTTCCACTTTATGTGCGAACGAAGCCGAAGCTACGTGCACGAGCATGCCGAATCTCACACTGCGCAAACACTCGTGCTCTGCTGGGATGCGGACAGCCCGGTGCGCGCTCTTGTAGCTTCAGCTGCACTCGAAGTTAAAGAAAGTAGAGCACTTAGGTCCGCGGAGTGGTGTATCCATGTGGTGTATACATCTGCTATCGTGCCACTGTTATTGTAGCTAATAGTGTGATGCCGTATTCTGTAATGAAATGTCGATGCTCGGCACACAACTTGTCCATCCCGCTGGAAGGTTCCATACAGTGTATGGAGTGTGTGAGTGTGTACAACTTCGGAAAACGCGCAGGCTGAAAAATCCTTCAGAGAGACAAAATATAATTCCACCGTAATCAACCAACGCTACATTGTATCTACATTTGGTGGCCATCACCCCAAGAGCAGTGACGTCATCAACTCTGGGGGAAGCCATCAACTTCAAGACCACATGTCTTGAAGTTGGTCTTTGTCTTGTTTCAGAACAAAACGGCCCTTTAAACATCTTGACCGAAGATCTTCTGTTCTTGCCTTATGTTCACTGATGTCCCACGATATTAAGGAAGTTGCCAGAAGGTGCAACATACCAGTAGTGATTTCGGCACCATCCTAGTTGTCGCGACTGTGTGCAGCTGTTAATCGGGGTGCATGTCCGGGAGTGCAATGTGAGGTCAACCCCCGCAACCGGTATGTCGCCTGCGCCTGTGGGGTGATGCACCTGATCCCCTTGTCATGTGGCAGAGTGTCGTTGGACAGATGGGGAGGTGTGGTAATGTCCGGGCGAGGGAACACTCTTTCCTTGCGCTCCTCCTCGTCTGGTCATCTTGCGGTCCATTATGACAGCTGGTTTTCGGAGGGAGCGGACGTGTGTTCGAGGTGCGGTCTACTCTTGAAGCCAAGTACTTTTTTTCTTGGTATTTTTGGTGTTTAAAACGTACATGTCATAGTAGAGGTAGATTTAATTAGCGGCAGGGTACGGGATTTAGGTTCACCTAGGCGGCCGGGCGGGCCGTGAGAAGGTAGAGTAGGGTCGGTCTTTGCGTAGATTTTGGCGGGCCTTTTCTTTGTGATAGACGCGCGAGTTTTTGGGTAGCTAGGCGATTAGTAGAAAAGAGAAGAAGATCAAGGGGGGACCTGAAAATGGTGGAGTGCGGAGAGTGCAAGCGGTGGGGCTACTTAGAAGAAACGGACCTCGAGAGCGTAGCTGAAGCAGAGAAAAGTATCTTCGCTTGCCAACTTCGTGAGAAGATTGAGGAAGGCTTGAGAAGGCTAGAACGATGGTGGAAAGATAAAATCGAAGATATCAAGGAGGAACTGAAGGAAGAGCGGGAAGCGGGTCCTGCTCGAGAGGTAGGTCACCGAGTTGAAAAGGAGGGAGCCTGAAGTGTGATGGCAGGAGCTTACCAAGGAATGGGAAGGCAAGGTATAGCACATGGGGGCTGAGCTCAACGAGGAAAGGGAGAAACGGGCCGAACTTGAGAAGCAGGTAGAGGAGCCCAGGCGTGGAAGGCAGGGCTAGAAGAGCGAAAAAAGGATTGCGAGGATAGAGTGGAGAGAGTCATCGGTGTAATTAGAGAAAAGAAAGGGAAAAGCAAGGAAGGACAAACAATGATGGCAGAATTGCAGAGCATTCTCAGAGTAGAGGTCGACGTAGAAGCACAGTGGGAAGAGATGAAGAGAAAGTCGACAGCGAGAGTAGTGCAATTGATGCAAGGGGCTAGAGAACAGGGAGTGAGCAGTGCGGGCACGAAGAAGGTTTCTAGGACCTGTATAGTGAAGCCCCGCAAAAGGAGTAGGAAACAGCTGAATTGGTAGTGCCCAACCTGGTACCGGTGGTAAATGGAGGGGGTGTAGCGGCGTAGTGCCAGGAGAGGGAGGGCTGCCGTCGGCAGGTAGGAGAGTCCTAGTAGTGGGAGTCTCCAAGGTGGCAAGAGTCGTAGAGCGAGTGCTAGGCAAGGTGAAAAAGGACAAGAGGGTGCGAGTAGAGGCCCAGCTAGGAAAATAAATGGTAGATGCCGTTGCCAAAGCGGAGAAGGTATTGTGGGATAACATAGAGGGGGGAAACCTAGTGTTGATCCACGCAGGACTCAACGACGTGTTGAATGGAGGAGCCAGAACCTGAGAAAACAGATAGAGGCAGGACCAGGGACTCAAACCGTAACCGAAACGGAAAACCGTTTAGGAACGAAATGTTTTAGTAACCGTAAGTAGAACGAAACCATTATTTGAAATTTATGAAAACCGTAACCGTAGCCGTAAATTATTTACCGGTAAGCGATATTAACCGATGTTAACCGAAAATTAAAAATATTAGTCTTTTTTTTTTTATCAAGAATGACCTCGAAGAGGAATCTTGAAAATCATAGAGTTATTATTGTGTACTCTAGGGGCTCAACTGGCGCTAGTGTCTACGCCACTTCCGGGAGGCAAATTGAAGCGGACAGCAACCAGTCTACTTTTGCGGTGCTCCTGTGCATTCCGATGGGAAAACGCGCGTACATTTTGTCTCTTGCCGGAAAATAACATGGAACACGTTCGTTATTTGAGTCGTACCGAATAGTTTGTACCTTTCTTAACATTTTGAAAGTGTACTTATGAAAGTGTACTTCATGAATGAACGAAGTTTAACATCGCTAGATTTCAAGCCCCGACCTCTGTTCCACAGCAGGTGTGTAAAAATAAGCTACGATTCTCAGCAAAATAACAATCAAAAGTAATATAGAGCAAGTTCAAGGCTCGCCAGTATTCGGTGACGCTTATATATTGCTAATATGGCAGTCTTGTCACTATATGAAGATGACCGCTTCTTGCATCTTTATGAGCGGTTAAATACATTCAAAACGTAAACAACAAAGTACGTGGGGTATGAAAGGCGTCTCCTTCTAATATTTTCTCTGCCGGGCAGTCTTTATCGGGCACTTGTCATCAAAGACTTTAAGCGTGCGGGTGATGTTTTGAGCATAGAACAAGCATATTCGCACAGAGCAGAAAAAATAAAGCAGTAAATATTGAACATTGGACTATATTACCTGGCCTTCAATTTATTTTGATTGTACATGCGGAGGGAGCTACTAATCTAGTGTTACTGCATAGTTCTTGCCAGCTTAGTTTTCCAGATGTCCTTCGTTCGTCACGTATATCGCCCATGCTGAAAAGCGCCGACGTCGTGTCCGCTCTAACAGTGTCTGACAGTGCACATAAATACATATACGAAGCCGTTTTAGCACCGTTTTTAATGCAAATAGTTTAAAACAAAACGTCGTATCTGACCAATTATTTCGTCTGCCTGACTGAGAAATGTTCCAAGCTACCTAGTGCGGCCAGATTACTTGGGATATTTGCTCTTATAATCGAGCGCCGGGAGAAAATGAACTTACTTTTTCTCATAGAAATGCATTACCGGAAGTCAGTTTTCGACTGGCTGCTGTCTGCTTCAATTTGCAGCAGCACACTAGCGCCAGTGGAACCTCTAGCGCATATTATAATAACTCTATGCTTGAAATGTCGTGGCCACTTACCTCTATGACAATTTTCTGAATCGCGCATCCTGCTAGGTGGCTGCAGCCGCAAATGCGGTCACAGGACGGCCATCTTGCATGCCAAAAATTCATCTTTTTGGAGCGTGTCGGAGGCTGGCGGTAGCCAGATGAAGACACTTTCTGTTCGTTCGTCGTCATTCTTTGAAATAAGTTTTTTTTAAACCTTGTGTAAACGGTGAAACTTGCCCTGGAGAACGCGTCAAAATCTTTACGAGAGCGTAGCGCTGCAGGAAAAAAACACAATCTGTCGAAAGCAAGTTTCGCCGGTCTCGCAGCGTGATCAAAGCTTCCTTAGAACGCCGAGGTGCTTCGTCCCCGTGCCTTCACACGCTCGGATACCGATCAAGAATTGACGCCATGTGTATGTGTTTCGAGATTACAATGCGCGTGTAGACGTATCTGCCTCGGGAGCAGCGTTTTACTTTACTACGACGACTCTATATGTAACTTGCGACACTCGCGGTCCAGAAACGAGCTTGATCCAGTGGCGACAGAGGAGGGGGAGGGGGGTACGGCGGCGGCGATGGCGACAAAATGCACACGGCCGTATGGGTCGCGTTTCAAGAAATTTTCGATCTCGCCGTTTCCTACTTTTATGTTCGAAAACGTATCTTGCTCCACAGCGTTGCTCTATTTGTACTGAGGTGTGATCCATTCGAGTAGATTTCGAACATATATTCATGGTTAATAGTGCATGCAACCACGGATTTTTTCCCCCTTTACTGATAACAACTCGCCGGAACAGCTGGGCGATCCAGAACTCAATTCGCGGCCGGTATATGATGCAAAGACATCTACCTGCGACACACCTTCAAAACATTGCCGCGGCGTCGATTCTTGATCGGTATCGAAGCGTGCGGAGGCAGCACTTCGGCATGCCAAAGAAGCTTTGATCAGGCCGCGAGACCGGCGAAAC